GTATGTATGTATATATGTATATATATGTAGTATGCATGTATGTGTATATGTGTGTATATATGCATGATATATGTATGTATATGTATATATATGTGTATATGTGTGTGTGTATATGTGTATGTATGTATATATATGTATATATATATGTATATATATATATATAATAAACAATAATAATATATGCCTTGAAATAACCATGACAAATATAACAACAATAATAATGATAAATATAATCATAATAATAATGATAATTGCAATAATAAAATAAAATTAAATCAATTTAATGAAAATAGCGATTGTTGTTGTTATTGTTGTTATAACTCTTTGTCTCTTGAGTAGTTTCTCCTTGTTAAATGTTGTTTATTTCTATTTTTTATGGGTTTTGATGTACTTTGTTAAATTTTTATGTGATTTTAATGTGATTTTAATGTTATTTTAATGGGTGCGAGCTTTTGTAATTTCTTCGTTTTCTTTTTAATGGAGACAATAAATTTTATCTTGTATCTTGTATCTTGTATCTTGTAAATACAAATATTCAACATCTTGACAAATATCTAGACAATAGCTCTTCATGTTGTATAAACTCTCCTTTTCTTACTTTCAGAACTTTAGCCAGCATACTTTGTGTACTTATATACATCATTAGTAGTGTAATTATATCCAGACACTCTGTTGTGTCCTCGAACAATTCCAAAATGAAAACGGTGCAATTTTTCATACTTTGTCTCGCAATCTACATTGTCCACGATACCAATGCAAGCATAGAAGCCAAAGACGGACTTCCAGTCGTAAACCAGATTCTAAGTTGGGTGATATTATTGCTGTCTTTTCTGCTGCCTCTCCTCACCTCTGACCTTATAGTTGAAAGGTTATTCAGCATAGCATCCGCATTTGTTTCTGTTTATCTACTGATGACGACGGCGTATCCTTTCACAATGTTTTTTTCTTATTTAAGAGTAGAACCCCTATTATTAGGGCAATACCTTCAGGACCAAACAAAGTGTCACCTAATTAGAGGTTGGCCACAGTATTAAAAGATATACTCCTTCATTTTGCAGCCAAAAAGTGTCCATGGGTGTGTCCCCTTAATAGAGGTGTCCCATAAGAGGTGTTCTCCTTGTATGGGTTTCTTTATTTAAGTAAGTTGGTTGTCCTGAGGTAAATGTGGATTATAGAGAATCTGTTGCACTGCCCAGCTGTCACCGGCACATTCGGGAAGGGTTTCACAATTGGACTGACCAATCAGTGTCGTGGAAAAAAAATCCTGGCAGCGATAGCGTATAGTGATTATAGGGAACCCATTTTGTCTTTGTTATGCATTATGAATGTAATAGCAATTAAGAAATAATATAAAAAATAATATGGTTCTGAATAATGTTCAACAATGTGATCCTTGACAGAATACATACAGGCATGAGGGTTTATTTTGCCTTGTTTTGTGCTTTGTCCTCTTTTCTTGGCTTCTTATTGAACTCCAGTTGTGTGGATCTGCGACCAAGGTAAATATTTTTATTTAAAAATTCATATGGTTTTAATCTTCTCAATATATAATATTTATAGCTTGAAACACAATTTATTGACTTAAAAACTATACAAAAATATACATATAGATAATATTTTAATTACATATAATGTGTTGTACATAATGATCCAATCCAAACTTTGATGATTCAGGATTGTGAGTAACAATTTTAAAACCAGCATTGAGAGGAGCTTAGCTCAGTCGGCTAATCTGGTGGTAGCCACTGTGTGTGCGCTGAACCATGGGGATCTCTAGGTCCCTGGTTCAATTCCCATCACTGCCTCTTCTTGTATTCCAGCTGGAGGGCTGAAATACAAGTTAAAATAGTGCACCGTCTTTCGGATGAGTCCTGTAAGCTGTTGGTCCTGTGTGCATTTATGGTGCATGTGCACGTTAAAGAACGCCGTACACTTTCGCCATACATTTTTCAGAAAAGAGCAGGGGATTGTCTCCTGGTTTACTGCCCAATCACCACCAGAAGGACCCCACAGGAAATAAGTCTTCTTCTAGACTTTTGTGCGCTATCCTTGGCGTTTACACTGAATAAATCCAATCCAAAATCCATTAGTAATAAAAAAAACATGATAATTGACATTTTTAATATTTTCATGTTCTCCACATTATAAGCATTAAAATGATGGGCATAAACAGCTGATATACACCAGTGTAGTAATGAATTTTTAAAAGATTTTATTTATTTTTAATAAACAAAAAAAAAATAAACTGGCAAATGAAGTCAATGTGATATGTCTAAATATGATATGACATCACATTATAACCATTTATGGCCCATCTTGATTACATATGGGCATACAATTTATTGTATTATGAAACAAATTCTTTAAAAGTTAATAATTGTTATTTTAATCTCTTTTACATTAGCATCAATTTGTTATTTTTAATTTATCTTTAATCCATTAAAATGATTGTGTTTTTTTTTTACCATCTCAGCTTTCCCACCTGAAGTTTGAAAGAAGACAAATCCTTGATGATGGTCCATCAAGACATCTAGCCCTCAGTGATATAAGAGTGGGATACTTCTTCATTTTCTTCCTGCTCACTGCATATTTTGGCACCGGCAACATAGCCAGCATCAACAGGTACCAATAAACAAAATTTGTGTGCATTATTAGATACTGTGAACACTATCAGAAATTATCTTACTGAGGTTAGGTCATTCACCTGATAAAGATCAATAAATTTTTTTGAAACTGTAGTGGTAAGAAATTTTACTGTTGGCTTTGTATCAAAGAGAATTCATCTAAAATGTCTGTCTTGTGTTAAAAGGGATTGTTGTGTATGCTCAACTCAAGAAAGTCATATCAGGCCCGTAACTAGGATTTTTTTTTGGGGGGGGGGGGTTCAAATTTGGAAAAAGTGGAGCCTTTTGAAGATGTTAACGACCAACCAATTGCACTGACCACATAAATAAGAGCTCCATCTTGAAACTTGTATTAAAAGTTGCTACTGTAAAGATTATTTGAACAGGATTGTTTTTTTTTTTTTTGAGTTTAAGCAATCTTCTTTCAAGATTTTTTTTTTTTTTGCCATCCAAGCGGAGCCAGCTAGCAAACGGCGGGGCTCATCCGACCCCCCCCCCCTGGTTACGGGCCTGACACAGAACACTGATATAATAAGTAATGTATATTTCACATTATCTTTTGACTTTTTATTTATTATATAGATATTGTGGTACATTTATCTACATTTTTTTTTAAGTATCAAAGGAGTTACCAATTCACATGTAGTCATAAACTCACTATAATTGACATTACTGTAATTATGTTAAATATGTTAAATTATTTAAATTTGATACAGTATTTAATTTGCTTACTTTATAAGTTACATTTAAATGTAGTTGTTAGTTGAAAATATGGACTAGGAAATATTTTTAAGGTCTTTGTCAGTTTTTTTGTTATTACAGATGGTATAACCTTCAGGTAAATGATGCAAGGAAGTGGGCAAACTGACTTGTTTTATACCTATATATTAGTCGCCTCAGGAGAGGATATGATAGGCATTACAGGAACCAACTCACAACCACATCAACTGTCAACAAAATAGTTCAATTTAAACCAGGATTACTGTAAATTACTACTATTTTTACTATAAACTATAAATACCACTTTTTATGATCAGATTGACACATTCACATTTATTTATTTATCTTTATTTATTTATTGTACATCCATCAGTGTATATACCAATTACAGGATGCACATTATCAGTGAAAAGCTTAGATTTATATTAAATACAATAAAGATTATTTAACCGACTCGAATGTAATAGACTTAAACTTAGAAAGACTGCAATGAAAAATATCAAATTCAGGATTATCACAAACACAATATTATAAAGTGATGGCAGTCCACAAAAAAATAGCATTTTTACAAACATTAACACGTGAAAACTGTACATTTAAAATAGGTTTAGAAGGAATTTAATGGAAATTAGAAACAATATTGCACTGTGGTAAACATAGAATTAAAACACTTTCATAAATAGAAAAGTAGATCATTAATTTGTCTTTTAATTTTAGGAGAAATACTAGAAGTTTTTGCAAGGCCAACAGGTTTCTGGGCCGAAAAAAATGTAAAAGCTTATTGTGAATTTTTTCAGTTCTAGAAGATTGTGTGTCAGGCAAGCCCGTAGCCTCCTTTTCATGAAGTGCCTTTTCAACAAAGGCTGGCTAGCCTACACTTTAGGCCTAGCCTAGAGCCTATCATCATTAAAAGTCCTACTTTAATACCCATTTGTTAGGCCTACCTAGTAACATAAAAAATTCAGGCCCCGAAACCTTGACTCAGAAATACCGGGATGGTGTCCGGCGGGGGATAGTTTCACCTGTGTATATCATATATATGATTATAATACGCTAAAACCAACCATACAAATTTGTCTCGGTTCTTTTTGTTACTGATTGTCTTAAGTGAGTATAGTATGATACAACTTCCAAAGTGCTATATAAATAAAAAATAAAGAATAAACCATACTGGATTCTTTGGAGTTTGTATCATGCTACTGTTGTTAAGTTACCAATACTGTAGTACTAAAGTAGTAGTTTTTTTTTTTGTTTTTTATCTTTTCCCAACTCAATAAATTACCTCTTTAATATATACATTTTTTTTAATGTATGCTTCTCAAATCAATTAAATAACATCTGTAAATGCTTAAAATGCTGGACCCCCACCGGGGTTTTGGCCCTGGAACCCCCGGGGGCCCTTGGCAGCCCCCTGGCCCCAGCCAATGTTGCTCGCAAGTGCCCTTTCAGTATCAAAAAGAACCCCCCTACCAAAATCCTGGCTACAGGCTTGGTCAGATATTGAATTATAGATAACTGAACAAAAATCAAATAAAGGTTGGTCAAGAGATTTATAAAGTGTTAATTTTTGTGGTTGGAGGAAATTTATGAGAATTGCGGCACATCAGTCCAAGTAACCTGTTGACCTGGCCATTGACATGGACAACATGAAAAGCAAACTTAATTTTTTTGTCAATAAAAATGCCTAAGTCTATATGCAATTCAACATTTTCAATACCTCGTTAGAAATCATATATTTAAAATTAATTGGTTTAGTTTTGAGAGTACAAGAGAGAACTTTGAATTTCTCAGACTTCAGTAACATTTTCTCAATTGGTAACCCCACTGTCCGAGTTTGTCAAGGTTGGCCTGGAATGCATACGTTCCAGGCCTCAATGGTGGAAATTATTTATATATCTTGAGGTCATCAGCAAACATAAGTTATTGAGATATTCAAGAAAATATATTTTGACAGAAATTGGGTTTTAATATTTCTGATAAGTTTAATATGTAGATTTCATATTAGAAAAAATAACCTAAAGTAAAGGTGTTTTGATGTACATTTTGTAAAGCTATATTTCAGAATTGATACAAAAACCAACCAAATATATCAGTTGTTTATCTTAATAGGAACCTGTTTCAAAGATCAAAATATTTATTATATAGTAATCTATCTAAATATATCAATTTTTTTTTACTACAAGACCGTTGTCACGACAGCTCACCTATTTCAAAACCTATAAGTGAATGGTCAATGCCGCAACACTGTCATCTGTCCTAATTAAATATTTCCTCCATGGATTTATGTATCTACTGTATATGTGTGCATACTTGTTTTACTGAAATACAGCAATTCCTAGGTATAACGTTAATCTGTTTTTCTTTTTCTTTGCAGTTTTGATCCAACATCTGTCTACTGTTTTCTTACAATCTTCAACCCGTTTGTGATGGGTATCTTGCTTCTATGGAAGGTTTGTGGTTTGTGTTTTCCTTTCTGTGGTATTTTCTTGGAATTCATTCCTTTGCTGGTTCAAAAATTCAATTATAGCATTTAATTACTCATTAAAAATCTAATGAGACGCATAATTCAGTTTTTACTAATTTGAACACTTTTTAGTATGAAAATCATTCTTCAATTACCAGTCTATAATACAAAGGATTAGTGAATTGAAAATAAAAATAAAACAAACACTGAGCATTAGAAACACACATTAGGCCAAAGTTTAACCCATTTCTGATCCAAAATTGCACAATGGAAATTGATGAATGAAAACATTAAAGTTTTCATTCATTAAAATATCATAATATAAACATACATAAAAAATAAGTCGCTCCACTTTTTTTTTGCATTGATTTTGACACTTACTGCTATGAATCTGATGGAAATTGCAAACTATAAATGATTGTAATATATAGAAGTACAGATACTGAAAGATGATTTGAGTTTTTTTATTAAGATGATCTGAATATTTGAGGAAAACGTATCTCCTCGTTGGGATTCGAACCCAAGGCCTTCTGATTACCATTTGAATACTCTGCCAACAGAGCTATGAGGCTAAGTGATATACACCCTTGACTTTTCCCATTAGGAAAAGTGTTTTATAAAGGTATTGTGTAATGCGCAATGGATAATAGTAAATCATATGAAAGTAACTATGGTATGGAGATATACCTCCACTGGCATTAATTACAGATGATAATAAATAATCGAGAAAAACGTATGTCCCAATCAGGATTTATTAATTAAAAAGTTACATCTTATATAAAGTAAGCAATTTTTGAAAATTTGTTTATTCGTAGAACACAGACAGAATCCCCCTTGATTAGCATTTTAGAGTTTATATACGATCATAATATCGTATCGTACTACAGTACTATG